CGAGTATGGACTGGAAACCAAATGCACTTTAAGCCTGGGCCAAGCCGGGACTCGAACCCGGGCCTCATTGGTGCAATGAAGCGAGGAAAGAACCGCTACGCTTAAACCCGCTCCCCCCATACACACTCCAGCCTATTGTTACTTAACAAATCCCCTAAATGTCTGAAAAGAATTCCTGAGATACCAGTATAACAATGACTGACGCAAAGGCGGGGGGGGGGCTCTTTTTCCCATAGTTCGCGTCAAATGTTGCTATACCTCGTGATTCGCGCCAAGCTTTTGCTTAGTTACATGAGAGGCGCCTTGCATTATTACACTTTTGTCAATGGATGAGAAGAGCACAATTTGACCCGTCCATTCCAGAGATGGTGGTCGCTATGCAAAAGCTTGCCCCGAATCACAAGGTACAGCAATTGTCTTTAGTCTGGGGAATTTGAATTGTTATGTTCATGTGAAATAAGATAGCACAGTGTACCTGATTTTATTCAAATGTAACTCGCAAAAGACTTATTCCCGCAGTTTGTATTTTGTGCGGGGTGTATATTCAATTTAGTATATGGTGTACAGAATTCTGGCAGCCCCTTTGATGATTAAAGGGTATCCCCGAACGACAGTGCAAAAATCAGGATCATATGACGTTTGATGAGTACTGTGGCTGTATACTGGATATGAACATAATGTTGGTTTTTGCCAGTTGAAACCACGACATGGATGACTGAGAGAGCTACCTGTTGGCACGTAGTGCTTACGGACCTTCGACCGTAGGTTACTGTCCCGTCATGCAGTAAACACAGACACCAGAAACTGTTGATTTTTCTTCTTAGCTACCAGGCTTAATTCATTGTAGAGACCCGTTTGGTTTATGTGTACGGTGTGAACTTTAAACCTTACAAATGTGGACTGGGGATATAAGTCTTTTCTTTTCGGTGCTAAAACGAGGGACGTGAAGTTTACAGTAATTTCACTTGGCGCTGTTGGTGTACAGGATACTAATTTTGCTATTTTCATGGTCCCTTGTGCCTGTCTTAATTAGATTGGTGGTAGGTACATATTTTTGGTCGGTTATTTCGGGGATGTGTGCGGTATGCAACACAGGAGTGTAAATCACAGTGTGAGACCACTGTCATCTTGCCTGAAAATTGTGTGGGCAGCCAACTTTTTACAGAGAAGAAAGATTAATTTATGGACGAGTAGTTTGGTGTTTAAACTGTTAAAATTGATCCACAGATGTAGTTGTAAACAGGAAAACCCGGAAGTCTTAATTTTCACTATTGCACTGCACGTACCTTTTTGTCACTTAATGAAAAAAATACGCCGTTGTGTTACCTTTTGTTATATATTTCAACAGCGCAGGTGTTTCTGTACAACATCGTTTGCACACCTACACACCCAGATTTGGCAGAGATTGTGTGTACTGTCTCTACCTTTGCCCTGCTAACGATGTGCCTTTTTTCACTGTGTGAAAACACAAAACATTTTGCATTTAGCATTTTGTTAGTTGTTTGCTTACAATTACTAGGAAAGAAATCAACATTTTGCTTTGAAACTGTGTTTATTTGTTCTTGGGATTAAAGGAAGAAAAATGGTAGGAAACGCTCTAAATTGAGAAGTTATCGATCATCCGGTTTTTTTTCACTTCGTGAAAATACCGACGATATGTAGAGCCCCATTAAAATAACCTGTGGCATGGATATTGTATTTCAATACGACTATCGCTTTCTTATTTTTTTTTTTTTTTAGATTTAAAGGCCTTCTGGGACGCGCAGTGAAAACAGTTGTCAACTTCCACCATGGGATGGAAACTAACAGTCACCGTACTTCTTATGGGGCTGGGTATCGCCTACATGAGCGGTCTCTTCAGCTCGCCGCCTGATCCACCAGAGGTTGGTGACGGATGGTGGGGACGAGGTGACAAGCCTAAGAAGGAAGAAGACACGTCAGTGAAAAGATTCAACATTCATTTCCCAAATGAGGACCTGGCAAATCNTATCGCCTACATGAGCGGTCTCTTTAGCTCGCCACCTGATCCGCCAGAAATTGGCGATGGATGGTGGGGACGAGGTGACAAGCCTAAGAAAGAGGAGAATACGTCAGTTAATAGATTTAACATTCATTTCCCAGACGTGGACTTGGCAAATCTGAAAGGTGCGATGTCATTCTTTGTTTATAGTACCAGATTGAACACAGTCAAGGCCTGTGAGGCTAACGTAGTCTCAGTGTAATAAAGAAGATCTTGAGGAATGAGATATGCACAAAATTGGAGGGGAGGAGGTTAAAGGGGCAAGGTGGGAAAAACGTGGATTGATTGGTACTTAGGACCACAAGGGAAAAGGGAAGCCTTGTTAAGGTCGGTACGAGGCTATTGATTGTGACTGACGCCATCTTTCGTAGTTCGTTTTAAAGGTTTTTCTTTTTCTGTAATATATGCGTTGGTTTTTCCCTTCTCCCATTCACAGAGCGCCTCAGGGGAACTCGATGGTTCGAGAGCGTTGAAGGCACCAAGTTTCACTTCGGTATCAAGCCGGAGTATATGAAGAAAATAGTGGATTACTGGCTGAACAAATACGAGTGAGTCACACGACTGGAAAGTTGGGGGCTAGAGGCAGGTCGCTCCGCAAATAGCCCTCTGCAATATATCAAAAGTCGTTTTCTTTTCTGCATCTGAAGTAATGCCGGCACACCCAGGTATCAACACTTAATGTAGGCATATTTTACTGCCACTACATCCTATGCCCTAAAAGGTCACGAGCACTTTCAAGTTTCAGTTCCGTTTCTAAAATGAAACAAATACAACTAAATCAAACGAGCATTAGCCCGTCCTTTGTTCTTTGGTCAACGTTTTAAGGCTTTCCCGTACTATTTTTCACCAGAAAATCGATGTGCATTTTATTTAGTATCTTAATTCAGGGAATGGTGTACTTTTGGCCAATGGATTTTACCCTGCACGTGCAGTGTTCTAAAGAAAAAAATTCGTTTCAATTCAACAGCTGGCGCAAAAAAGAGCAAGAGCTGAACCAGTATCAAAGTTACAAGACAAAAATCGAGGGAATCGACATCCACTTCGTCCGAGCTGTGCCCAGACTGAAAGTGGGACAGAAGGCTAAGCCCATTCTAATGGTCCACGGCTGGCCGGGTTCCTTCTACGAGTTCTACAAGGTAAAATGGAGACAATTTCAACTTATCTAAACATTTGAAGTGAATCAGAATGACCCTTCAGCGAGGGGATCCACATGAAAGGCTGTAGTCTGTGAACTGTTAGAGATTTATTGAGTAGTGTTGAAGCTTTGTGTTTGTTCGTTTTCGGTTTTCGTGAGTCAATTCGAGATTTCAAAAAGGCATCGTTATTTGGGGTTAAAGCATGTGTTCGAGTCGGCGTGTGGCTGAGCCAAAAGGGCAGACATTCCGCGCTCGTAGGCCTATTGGTGTTTGCAAATGAACTCGGGCGCACTTCATTTTGAGCATGCGCTGTTGGAATATCGAAATAGGCCCTATGCAACAATCTCAATACTAGTCACTTTGAGATGCCCGTCACTGACTGTCCTTTATGATCTCTTCACATGTTACTTTCCCAATACACAAAGCTCGAAATATTATGATTGTTTTCTCATCTTGCACTGTTGAGATAATTCCCATGCTGATCGACCCCACTCGTCATGGAGGGACCGAGGATGATATCTTTGAGGTCATCGTTCCTTCTTTGCCTGGTTATGGTTTCTCAGAGGCTGCTCACAAACAAGGTATGGGTCATTTTTCATTCCTGAGCTCTATCATCGGTTCTTCCGTCAACTTTTATTGCTTGAGAGCCCTGACATGCCAGTCCAATTATGCTGATACAGCCAAGGTCAAACGTCCATTACACAGTGACTTCAATTCATTGGATACGAAGTTTACACGTGGAATATTTCCGTTTGTGTCCGAGCAGCTGGGGCTTCTAACTTGTGGGGTTGATCCACTGAGAGACGGGGCTGAAACTTTGTTGCGATGCCACCTGTATTTTGAGGCGAGCTTCCGCGGACTACATGGTTGTAACTTTAACAGCCGTGTTACTCGCTGTGTTGTCTTTTTGTTGGGTTCGTTTATAGGTTTAAATGCCAGGGTCGCCGGTCGCATATTCCACAAGCTTATGACTCGACTGGGATTCGACAGCTACTATGTCCAGGGTGGTGACATGGGCGCCATGGTAACGGACCAAATGGCCGGCATGTTCCCAAAGTGAGTACAATTTACATTGCCAACTTGTGGATGGCTTAGCAGTAATGCTACGCAAGAGCCCGCTTGCTAAAGTTCACGTCCCCCTGTTTAAGGTTGATATAGTTTTGGAAACATCAGTCATTTAAATATGAGGAATTAAGTAGACAAAGAACGGGCGCCGTAGTCTCTAGATCAGAAAATGGGTCCTATTTTTGCTTTTGACTTCACAGTCATGTCCGTGGTATCCATGTGAACATGATACTCACCCAACCGCCTGTGAGTCAGATGATCCTGGGCAGCCTGTTCCCCTCCCTGGTACTGGATAACGAAGGCTACGCCGGGTCGCTGCCGAGCTGGGAATCTTTGAAAAAGTGGCTGATAGAGACGGGGTACATGCACATACAAGCCACTAAGCCAGACACAGTAGGTACGGAGGCTCCAAGTTCCTCACACGCCAGTGTCTAGTGCAACTTTATACTTGGTTTATAACTCAATGAGGAGCATGGCCCACTGACAGCCAATTTCCTCCTGATTCAACCTCGTGCCAGACTCTAAAATACCGTCAAAATTACCACCTTTTAACTCTTGACCACAGGTCACGCCCTGACCGACTCTCCTGTGGGGCTGGCCGCCTACATCATTGAAAAGTTCTCGTCCTGTACAAATTACGACTGGCTTGACTTGGATGACGGCGGACTCGATGCTTATTGGTCCAAAGACGACCTGTTAACTAATGTCATGATCTACTGGGTGTCTGGATGCATTACGTCATCTATGCGCATGTACAAAGAGACTGTGCCGATCTCCGGATCATTGAGCAAGTAAATTCTAGTTTGCTTTCAGTGGATGATAGATAATAACGTCAATTTTTCATTAATTTGTAACAAGGTAATTTGCGAAAGCCTAAGCTCTTGAGGGCCATTCAATCCATTAAATTCTCATAGGAACAAAATATGCATTACACTCACATGTAATTTACTTGGTAAAATGATATCCCTGCATCCGATTCGAGTCAACCGGTATATCCTTTAGAGAGATAACGTCGTTTTTTATTAATGCAACAAGCTTCCAATATTCTTTGCAGTTTCTTGAATACTGTGCCCGCCGGTTTGGCAGATCTGCCGCACGAGGTGACGCGAATACAGAAGAACTGGGCATCCCAACACTACACAGACATTGTCTCCTACACAACTTACCCATCGGGCGGCCATTTTGCAGCCTTCGAGGTACCAGACCTACTCGCCAAGGACTTGCGGCAATTCGTGCAAAAGGTCGAACATCGTCTGCTCAGCAAAACAAAGTAATCTGTGATGTGAATGATAGACAGAGTCTTTGTCATGGGGGAAGTGGGATGATATACGGTACTTCAGGGAAGAGTGAGTGCACTCTTATGTACAATGCTGACCAATGAGAATCGCGCTAGACAACGAGAATAAAACGCTAAAACGAGGATGGACGCATAATATTTTTCAGGGGGGGTGGCAAATTTTGGGCATTATTTGCAAGCTTTTTTCCACCGATTTTCTGACGACTGTTATTTAGGTCTTGTTCCAAGCAATCTTGAAAAAGGGTAGTTCTTAAAAAAGCACATGAAGATTTCTGTCACTGACATGCAATAACTTATAACAGTGCGCAACAGCGTTTTTATTTTACTGAATGAAATTTATGTCCATCGTTGTCATCAATAACTAAGGAAAGAATTTGATAAATAAAATGTAACGTTTAGATCTTGTTGTCGAAAATGAGTTGTAATGCTGAGGAAAGAGAACTGAAAGGCTTTACCCTTTTTCCTTTTTGGGACAGTTTGTCTCAAATGTTTACAGGCTTAAATGGGACATGAAGAGTGTGGCACCTTCATACACGTATCAGAAACAAAATGTGCAGCACACTTTACACCAGTTCTGTTTTCAGCATAACATGTACCCATGCTCCACTAGGTTGCTAGTTACAACTGTTCCCAGTTCGTCCATTGCATGGTCTCAGCTTCGTAGTACCGTCCAGAAAATAGCCGTCAGATCTTCAAATCAAACTGGTTTGTGGCTCCGTGTGAATATTACCCGCGTACGGTTTGCAGTAACAAATGTGCCAATGGCAAATGGATTCATCCGCTTTCATAAAGGCTGGCGGGCTGTAACGAACATTGCTTCAGACATCGTACGCTGGTGAAGCTAATGCGGTAAAATGTTTTATAGTAATGTATCCACCAAAAATTTTCGTTTAAAATTCTTTTACGTGTATGGAAATAAAACACTATGAATTCTGAATACAGTCGGGCAGACTGTCATCTATAATTACCATTTTGTCACTGCACAGCTATCAATAAATATGTTCATGTTCTGAGTGACTCTTTTCCTACTCTGTTTTTCTCCCAGATTCTCAAAATACACCCTAAACAGGTGTAAACTTACATGAAATTCAGCTGGCACTTTCAAATACAATCACACTAATTTCATCACTGTAAGACGTAATAAGTTGATTGCCCAGGACAGCATCACTTTTAGAAAATTAAGACACAAGTTGAGCCTTGACAAACTTTGGACATGTCCAAAGAATATTGATTATTGATCTTTGAATGCGTTTGCTGTGAAGAACTCCTATTAGTCGCCCAATTCTGTAGAATATGCTTAGATTGAGGTAAATAGTACATTGGAAGGTGCCACATCCCCGGTTACCCCAACCCCGTGGACATAACCTTCGGTAGTTATTCGCACTCTCGCGCAAAAAAAGACACCAGATACAAGATCTTCTGTTTTATTATTATTTTTTTTAATATTTACAATTTTGTTGATCTGACACTATATAAAATACGCCCGGGACTTTCGGGTTTTGAACGCAGTGGATGCACAATTTAAATTGAACGTAAAATTCTAAAGATCCTTTCTGTCACTGCAGCGATGACTGGTTCACGTTATGGCCAGGAACTCTCGGGCTGTCTCACCGCAGAGTAGCCTTCGGGGCACCGGCCTGACTCTCTGTCGTACAACGGTCTTGAATTGACCCCGAGTCTTGAGTTGTTCCTTGAGTTTCTGGCTAGCCCTTGGATCGGACTGCTAGTCCAATACCCACAGTAGAACCCTATGTAAATGAAATGCAAACCTTTTCTGAACACCTATCTGGTACAAATGTTCGACAACGTCGAAGGCTGTAATTATACAGGATATTGTTATTATAGTAGTTGCAACCATCATCACAACTATTTACAAAAGAATGACCACTCCATATCTTGACACAGCTAATATTTAAAAGTGATGCCACCATAAATCCAATTTCTCTAATACATCTTCGTTACTCCAGTAATCACTTATCTTAATGTAAATAAGTGTAACCGCAAAATTTACTGTATTTTCAAAATAAACTTACAGGTTGCGTAGACACCTGGTTCTTGTGGGAAGTCTTGCGTCTCGAGTAGTTTTTTCCGCCTTGCGTATAGGTCGGAGTTTATCTTCACCGATACACTAGCTTCCAATCATTAAGTTCTTCAGAGCAACTGGCTGGATTCTTGCAGTTTCAGACTCAATTACAGCAACATCATCGAGGCTGACAAGACGTGTCCTCTCCTCGGACTCTCCGACGCAAGTCCCCTTTACACCCCGAAAATTTTTAAACCCCACCAAATTTCTACCTGGGACACCCTCAATCCTTTTGTTGTGTGATCCTGGAGACCTCATAAGAAAGGACTTAAGCAAGAGTTGAGCTATCCAATGGGGTTTGTCAGTTCTTCCCGTGAAACTATCTAATTTAAATAAAAATACTACATAGAAACACTGGCCAAATAAAATCAACAATTTGTTTCTGTCAACGCACACTCATATTATCTTATACGTTTGGCTGCCATGCATAAATAGAATAAGAATTATTTCTCTAGAACAAATTAATCCCACTTCGTGACAGAAGGTTTACCAGGGACGCCTGTTGTTTTCACTCAGAGAGGCAAAAAAAAAATTAGAAGGCTGAGAGGACAGCTTGAATAGAGATTATAAGGGTGCATTCCACCAAATGGTTGTATTTCTGCGCGCGAGCTCATTAATATTTTGTGATCCCACGGGGATTTTACAATAAGACAGGCCATAATCAGGAGTCATCATAGAAATATTTCTGTAGGCCTAAGTCTCGAATTTAGGACCGATAGTCTCCAGTTCAGGGTATTTCTTTCACAAAAAGCCCGAAATTGCGGGCCTATTTTGGATAGAGGCGGGCGGTTACATTCAGAAATGAGCGCTTAGTTTTATTGGTATTTTGGGGGTATCTTCGTTCAAAGGCGATAAAAAAATCGTGGCTAACCCCCATGAGATTGAAACGAAAAGTGATCTTCTGGCCATAATCTTGAATTCCCAATGAAAAAACGGAGGCCAACTTCTTCACGAGAGTCAACAGGCGGCACTATTTCGGTCCAATTTTGCACTGTTTTCCACGGGTGCGTATTTGGTGTAGTGCAACCATAAGAGAAGGTCAATACGACCAACCTCGTCCTCGTAGTGTCGGGCAGGGCGCCCCTACCTATCCCTACCTGCTCTCACCCTGAAATTAGATCATCTGCATATAAACAAATTGCATACTTATGCTAATAAAAATAGTCTGGTGTCTGGCCGTGTTTCAGTCAGCGTTCATATTGGCATTTGGTGTCTTTTTAATAAGGGAATAAATATCTGCTTGGCCGGTCTTAAACGTTCTTTTAAGACCGGCCAAGCACATATTTATTCCCACTCATAAATACCTTTTTAGTCAGAGTGTCGAAAGAGGTCAATATGTGATGGATTTCCAACAATTTTGTTCTTGAATTTTAATTTCCCCTAACACCCCCATCCATTATTGTGAATACACGTAAAACGTTGTAATCGCGTGTATGGGCGCCATTTCAGCAAGCGATACGCCTGCGCAATGCACATTAATGCACAGGCGCAGGTGCCGCGGCAGGCACGTACACCTGGTGCGCCTGTGCATTACTGTGAAGCACGCCGGCGTATAGCTTGCTCAAATGGCGCCCAAGGTGATTACACCTTTTGGGCCATATGCAGCAAGGTATGAGACGGAGAGAACCCCCCCCTGCTTTGTGTTGGTCATTGTCTAGCAGGAATCTGGGAAATTCCTTTCAGACATCTTGGGGGATGTGTTAAGTAACAATAGTCTGGAATGTGTATAGGGATTGGACATGTTGGGAGGGTACCCCTCGGTCTCATTTCTTGCTGGGTATATTTTGGGCAGAGTTATCCCATCTTGTGCCTTCGGCGTTATACGATCTTTGAAATAAATGTTCAGCTTTTCAGATTAAACGACACCCGGTAAACCCCAACGGGGAGAGCAAGCCACAGGCCAAAGCTGCAATCCGATTGGTTGCCGCGCGTCATGCATAACGTATGTACTACACGTGCATGAATTATCAATAGCCTAGATATTGACGCAAACTACACTTACCCTGTTCCACTATAGGCCTTTTCCTGTGATGTCACAATCGTGCTGGACCGCGATGTGTTGTGATGGTAATGATGCATAGTGTTGTGATGGTAATCTACTTATTCAAGATAAATTAGTCAAGCATGTAGCGTTCGCATGTGCGCTTGTACGTGGCTGAAGCTGCCGTAAGAATTATGCGATCACCGTGGCCAAGGCGGTCAACGTGTGACGTGTGGTATATTAAACGCAATCCAGCCACGTTGGTGAAAAAGGGTCCACACGTACATTGTTATGGCCAGGAAATTTCGTTGAATTAAATACTGCAATACTTCATGCCGGCACGGTTTTCTGCTCATGCTACAACATGCGTTAAATATTGTGACACAGATCAACTCAAAAAAATTGTCAGAATGGAAACCTTCGCCGCGGTGATCTTTGCTAGCAAGGTGAGAGAATCGTAGAAAGGGCATTGACTTCACACGGTGTTAATCATTATAGGCTTGCTTGCTGAATCATGTTGTACTTGTGTGTGGGTGCAGTCGGATCCAGGGGTCCAAGTAACAAACTGAACTTTAGCATGGGAACAGACAACAAACAGTACAGATTATTAACGAAAGACGGTCTGAAATCTGATCTTCAATCGAGGTAACTATTCCATGACTACGTCACGTGTCTGCCTGACTTGTGACAAGTTTTCTCTTATCGTGTTCAAACTATGATTGTCGGCCAAAGGGTAGAGCCCTTTTTTACCCGTCAATCTTTACTAGCCTATCATACCATTAGCGTCTCACCATTTCAGCTTTCTGCACAGCACGAGGTAGGTTCCACTCTTCTTTCTCTTGCGCTTAGCTCCTCCTTACAATATGAAGTACAAGATATTTGTAAGCTGAAATGTGCATTACGTGGGGCCAGAATAGTGGGAAACCACTGCAGTTTGGAAAACTATTTCTAAAAATCACGCATAAAACGGTTTTCTACACCAGTCACCGTATTCCTGCCGGAAAACAGTTAGGTGGGCCAAAAATTAAAGTGCACGCTCAAACCTTCTGAGGACATGCATTACTGTCGTGCGTTGAATAATTTGAATATTGGTTTAATATTGCTTGAAGCCTGCAACCCTCCGTGCTACTTTTGTGCAAGTGCATCAAAGATGCTTTGCAGTAGTTAGGTCGGCCTACACGTACGCCAACAAGTGCCAACATATTTACCGCAGGTAAAGAAAACCGAAAGAACCGATTTCTGTTGACTCTGCGATTTCCTCAAGTACGATGAAGGGGGTCGCAGATATTTACAACAAATTTCACTACTTGCTTTTGTCCGAGAATTACCGGTTCCTTTAGTACACTTCATAAAACTGAATGTACAGCATTTCGGGACAAAGACACACTGCATAACTTCTGCGTTATGAATTTAAAAAATTGCTGAAATCGAAAGACGTTTTTACAAAACAGTATGAATGACATTCTCGACGCATTTGAAGAATTAAAAACAGAAAATCCAAAATGGCAATTAAAAAAGAGGGTGAAGTCACGGCATGACTGGAGAATAGTCCCGTGCAACGGAGACTAGCCCTAAGCAAAATGACCCTTGCCCCATACGAGGTAATACGGCCCATACGTCCACAGTATACGTTGATGACCTTCAATTAAGATCGCATGCATGACAGAATTATGCCTTCAATTTGCACCTGAAAAGACTCATTAACCGCAGGAGTGATCCAGTTCGCTGTACAGTGTCACACAGAAATATTGACGGAGGTAATTTACTTGTGAGTTACCATGTGAGTTTCCTACGAACTATGCAGCTCGATTGCTGTGGCCATTTAAGGCCGAAACGGCCTGTCGATTTGCTCTTGCAGTTCCACCTTTACACCTAGGTATCGAAAGACGCATGGTGTAGGGTAAAATGACTTGCTTGAGGTCATAGGCATGGCCATCGCTGGATTCGAAACCCGAACATATTCCAAGCCAGTTGGCCACATTTCCCGTCACACCAGCATATATGGACCTTTTTTAGGAGTCTGTCACTCAGTGGTGTCAGCGGGTGATATTTCAGCGTTTCACAATTGTTTCTTTGAGAAGGTTGCATAGCTGGGTAGAGTGGGCTGATAGCTGTTCATTTTACTATCTTGAAGCTCGGACTGGTCTCTGTCCAGTTTTTGTTTTGTGCTGTGTCTATTTATTTTGAATCTTGACGACACCGCCAAAATGAGGAATGTGAAGTTTAGTGCGCACTGTGGCTGTATACCGGATTTTATGTTGGTTTTTGCTGGTTAATATTACACAATGAATGATTGGTATAGAGCTACCTGTTGGCACGTAGTGTACTGATCGACCTTTGACCGACGCGACGGTTACTAATGAATCAGGTAAACGCAGACACCATACACTCTTTCGATTTTTCTTCTCAGTTCCTATGCCAGTCTGAATTGAGTGGTTAATGTGTATGGTGTGAACTTTAAACCACACAGATGTGGACTGGGGAGATTTTAAAGATGAGTCTGTCCTTTTCCAAGCTACAATGAAGGACATGATGTTTAAGTTAGCACTGCGGGTGAATAAATCTTTAGTCCATGTCCTAATTATGTTGATGGTAGGAACATATACCTGATTTTTTTAGTAGTTTTTGGTTAACTCGGGGATGTGTACGGTATCAGGTGAAGCAGTATTTTCGTTTCCCTGGGCAAAAAATAATTATTCGTAATTTCCATACACAGCAAAAATGTTATTTAGGCTGTTCAACCATTGGTAAAGAGTTGTATATCAGATTTATTCATCATCTGCATCATTGCAGAGGAACTATACTGGGGATAGTTTGGGTCAGAGGGTGAATTCTTCTACTCCAAAAGCGCCTGTGTATAACTTTCCTCAAAGCATCTTCTTTGATGAGTTATCCTGCTGACTATAATGCTGCTTCTGGTCACGGTAAAGCCTGTTCCGTGTTCCAACATCTCTCGCATAGGGTCCATTTATAGCCCCGTACAATAAACTGTAGTAAGGCTGTTATAATGAAATACAACGATCGTTTTGCTGTGTTTTCTAGATCGTGTTCCAGATTTAAAGGTACCCTGGTACTCGCAGTGAAACCAGTTGTCAACTTTCATCATGGGATGGAAACTAGCGGCCACCGTACTCCTTCTAGGGCTTGGTATCGCCTACATGAGTGGTCTCTTCAGCTCGCCACCTGATCCGCTAGAAATTGGCGATGGATGGTGGGGACGAGGTGACAAGCCTAAGAAGGAAGAGAATACGTCAGTTTATAGATTCAACATTCATTTCCCAGACGGGGACCTGGCAAATCTAAAAGGTGTGATGTTAGAAGGTGCTTTTAGTACGAGATTGAACACAGTAACAGGGTGCTCATAATGGCTCTTCCGTTGAAATATGCAAATTAGATGGGCGCATGCATGCGCGCTACGACCACTGGTAAGCGCAGCCGTCAACATTGTCACCATGCGGTGTAATAAACCTGCTGTAGCTATAACCTGAAGGTCAATCAAAGCTGTATTACAGCCTTTGTCTGATACTTTCTCGAGACTATGTGAAGTGTTCAGTGTCCTGAAGTTGGAAAGTAACAATTTCTTGCTTGTTTGGCACCATGCCAAACTATAATGGTAACGGCGCCGTGTGCTTATAGTTGCGCATGCACGGAGATTTGTATTGTTGTGTCGTATATTTATGCAACTTTGCCAACCAGTGGTAGTAATAAGCTTACGCGTGCCTTATTTGCATATTTGGGAAAGGCCCATCAGGGCACGTATGGCTAACGTTGTCTCAGGCAAAAGGAAAAGAACTGAGACACGCAAAATCCCTCTCTGTATTCAGACGGAGAGGGGAGGGGGTTAAAAAGAAAAGGTGGGGGTGAACTGTTAGGTGATTGGGACTGCAAGGGAAATACGAGGCCTAGTGAACCTCGATTGTGGCTGAAACAATCTATCGTAGCTTGTTTTGAAGGTGTTTCGTTATCTGTGGTATTTGTGTTAAATTTTCATTTCTCCTTCCCACAGAGCGCCTTAGGAAAACTCGATGGTTCGAGAGTGTCGAAGGTACCAAGTTTCATTTTGGTATCAAGCCCGAGTACATGAAGAAAATAGTGGACTACTGGCTGAACAAATACGAGTGAGTCACACGATTGGACATTGGGGATTATAGAGGGCAGTCTGCTCCGCAAATATTTCAAAAGTCACTTTCTGTTCTGCGAAGTAATCTCAGCACGCCTATTTTTCAACACGTGCTATACAGCTTTTCCATTGCCACTGCATCTTATGTCCAAACAAGTCACTTCCAATTAAGTTCAGGTTCACTTCAAAAAAGGAAAGCAACTAATCAACCAAAAGTACATTAACCTGTCATTTGCAGTCTGGTTCAACGTTCCAAGGTTTCCTTACACTATCTTACTTCAGTAAACCGATGTTCATTTTATTCACCAGTTAAGTCCAGGGAAAGTGCACTTCTTCAAGTCAGATAAATTTCACTTCCTACAATTCCATAGAAAACCTTTTCTTTCAATTCATCAGCTGGCGCAAGAAAGAGCAAGAGCTGAACCAGTATCAAAGTTACAAGACAAATATCGAGGGAATCGACATCCACTTCGTGCGAGCCGTGCCGAGACTGAAAGTGGGACAGAAGGCTAAGCCCATTCTAATGGTCCACGGCTGGCCGGGTTCCTTCTACGAGTTCTACAAGGTAAAAGGGAGATAGCTTCCCAATCTTTTAATATGAAATGAGCCTAATTGACTTTTAATACGAGTAAAAGCTGTGTGAACCGTCGGAGAGTTTGGTTCTATACTGTTCGCAAATGATCTTTGAACATAGGGCTATATAGCTCTATGTCTTTGACGCCCTTCATTTTGGGCATGCGCTGTTGGAATATCAAAACGCTCATTGGAGCAATCTCTGCACTAGTCCTTTAGGATACCGCGTTCTATCACCGACAGTCCTTTTAAATTCATTCAGAAATTTTTCCACTGCACCACTGTGCAAAGCTCGAAATCATGCTTATCTCATATTCCCTTGTTGAGATAATTCCCATGCTGATTGACCCCACCCGTCATGGAGGGACTGAGGATGATATCTTTGAGGTCATCGTTCCTTCCTTGCCTGGTTATGGCTTCTCAGAGGCTGCTCACAAACAAGGTATCGTCGTTTTCCAATCCTGAGCTCTGTAACTGGCTCTTGTGTCAGCTTTTTTGGTTGAGAAACCTGACTTGCCAGTCCTTTTACACTGACATCCCAGGCCAAAACTCCAGTGTACAGTGACTTCAATCAATTTGATACGAAGCCTAAACTTGGCTTATTTCCACCTAGCTCTTAGCAACTAAGACTTGTAACTTGCAGTTGTTGATCCGGAGACGAAGCCAAAAGTTTGCAGCAATGCTTTCCATATTTCGAGGCAAACATCACTGGACTATGGTAAGCCATATGACTTATTGTATCGTCTTTTTGTTTGGTGCCTTACATTTCTTGTAGGCTTAAATGCCAGGGCCGCCGGCCGTATATTCCACAAGCTTATGACTCGTCTTGGATTCGATAGCTACTACGTCCAGGGTGGTGACTGGGGCTGCGTTGTGGTGGACCAAATGGCAGGCATGTTCCCCAAGTGGGTACAATTTACTTTTCCAAGACATCTGCGCTGCTTAGCTGTGAAGCCTTACCCAAAAGTGCCTCGAGCCAAATCCGATAACCGATTATACATAAAACAGCAACAGATGCTTGACAAAGTTCACATCCTACCGGTCAGGGTTGGTACAGTTTTTTTGGCACCTGTGAATAAAAATGTGAAGAGTTAACTGGACATTAACTAACCAGCATTTCAAGGAATGCCACGAACAATCTATTGGGAGGTTTAAAATGGGGTCCTGTTTTTGCTTGCAAATTTCCAGTCATGTCCGCGGCATCCACGTGAACACGATATTCGTCCAGCCGCCTATGAGTCAAATTATCTTGGGCAACCTGTTTCCATCCCTGGTGCTGGAGAACGAAGGCTACGCAAGGTCGCTGCCAAGCAGGGAATGGCTGAGATATGTTCTGATGGAGACAGGGTATATGCACATACAAACCACCAAGCCGGACACAGTCGGTAAGGATGCTTATAAGTTTATCAAACTCCAGTGTCGGTGTAACCTTATACTAATAACCCCATGAAGAGCATGGCCCTCTGACAGCTAATATCCACCCGACTCAACCTATACATATTATTTATCTTCAAAGTGGTCACAGTTTTCTTCAACTTACTTTAGGACAAAAGTTGTTCTTTAAAGATTCCTTAATAGTAATAATTAATAATAATTAATTCCTTTATGAAAGCGCAAATTTCATATAGATATGTTCAAATGCGCCGTACAATGAAAATATTAAGCGTGGAACAATGAATACATTTAAACATGGTAGAGCCGATGGTATATACAAGGTACCTCGGGCAGCCGCCAAACGACCCACATTCACCAACATCAGTAAAGGGGAGACAGTAAGAAGCGGATAGAGTTTTAGAGGAGGAAGGAAAACTTCAGAGGACTTGAATAATCTGGGTAAAACCCACGGAGTCAGGTAGGGACTGAAAACCCAAGTCACATGTGGGCCGGGCCGGGAATCGAACCTGGGACCACAGAGGTGGAAGGCGAGGAAAGAACTACCTTGCCAACTTGACTCCCATTCTTGAAATCTTTACTTCTTGACCACAGGTCACGCTCTGACCGACTCCCCAGTCGGACTGGCCGCCTACATCATTGAAAAGTTCTCGTCCTGGACAAACTACGACTGGCTTGACTTGGATGACGGCGGGCTCGATGCTCATTGGTCCAAAGACGATTTGTTAACTGATGTCATGATCTATTGGATGTCTGGATGCATAACGTCTTCTATGCGCCTCTACAAAGAGACCTTTCCAATTCTGAGATCGTTGGGCAAGTAAGTTCTAGTTTGCTTTGATCGGAGGAAACTTAAAATGTCAATTTGTCATAAATGTTAATAAGGTAACATGCGATAGCCCACAAAAAGTACATATTTTAAAGTACATACAGGGTTAAGCAATCCATTAAATTGTCAAAAGAACAAAAAATACACGTACGTGACACTATTAAGTGACATTATTCAATTTGTTTGTGGAGAAGACATGCCGGCATACGACTCATCAAAGCATTCGGTATAGCTTTTAGGGAGATATTATCTTTCTCATTAACGCAACAACTTTCAAACATTCTTGCAGTTTCCTAAACACCGTGCCCGCAGGTTTGGCTGATCTGCCGAACGAGGTGATGCGAGCGCAGAAGAACTGGGCGTCCAAACACTACACAGACATTGTCTCCTACAAGACTTACCCAACGGGTGGCCACTTCGCTGCCTTCGAGGTACCAGACCTACTCGCAAAGGACTTGCGGCAATTCGTGCAAAAGGTGGAACAGCGCCTGCTCAATAATTTGAAAACAAAGTAATGAAAACAAAGGAGGATGATATCCGGTATATGCTGTAGTCTTGTAAATCTACCATCTACGTCTACTTCAGCGCAGAGCATTGCACACTCACGTGCGCAATATTGACAAATGAGAAACGTGGTAACAAAAGACAATGGCTGTAGTTGCCGTATACAGGCACAGTCCATACGGTAATGTTATCGTAGTGATGCATGCATTGAAAATGTTTTCGTTTAAATTTACTTTTATACATGTCTGAATGAGATGATTATGAACGCTGAATAGTGGAGATTGTCGCCCATTATTACCATTTTGTCTTTGTACTTCTCTTGATAAATAATTACGTTTTAGTTTTTAGCTTTTTTATCTTTTAGTCTATGTAAAGTGTTTCTTATAATCTTTTATCTTTTATCATTTTATCCGGGGAGTGAGTTTAAAGGACCTTAAAGTCCTCTGGTTTGCAGTGTACCAAGCATACACATGCACATCTTGTTACTTGAAAGTAAAATTGTTTTAGCATAAGCATTTTGTCATTGATATACAGACATGACAGAGCTTCACTGGTTTTGCATATAGAGTTTGTTGCAGTAAAATCGTGTTGTGTTAATTTCCGGCCACTTCAGAATAAGTTGTACAAGATGGAATATTTTAAAGATGAATCATATTGGCAATTCACAACTTCCATTTTGTGTGAAATGTAGTTATAATGCAATCTAGAAGGCAAAACTAAATAAAGATTGCTACTGACGTCAAAAGCACGAGTTGAAGCCCTACTTCATATCAAGCAAACTGAAAACGAAAGTCGTCTGGAGAATCCAATAGACCCTTCCACTAATAAATTCTAATTTATGTGCGCATGCGCGTACATGGCATGTGGAGGCTAAAAGCTTGAACGGCCTATTGAAAATGTACACGCGTACAAATTTCAAAGTCACGGCTTCTGCACCGTTTTGCACTTTCGTCTTCGAAAACTCTCTGATATTATTATAGCTATTACTTTCTGGTCTAAAAGGATTTTAAACATGACTAAATAAAAAAAAGTCTCTGCTTTCTCCCCGAGGTCAAACGAAATTAACAGAGCTCCTTTCCGACCATGTCCAATTCAATAGGTATATATTCTTCAGGGTACTATGCACCACTCGTACTACGCTGAATCACGGGCTGAATGCAGGGTGAATTGCGGGCTAGTTTCAGGCTGTGTTAGGGTTTTTTGCCACGTCCAGGTCGACAGCGAATGTTGGATGGTACCCTAACACACTCGATTTTATAGGTCACGCAGAATGGAACCCTTATGATTTCTTTTGCACTCGTGGACTTCGAACGAACGGAATTTTTCAAGATATTATTTTGCTCTCCAAAATTACTCTCACACCAAAAATTGATATTTATAATGATTTGAGTGGGTTTTCCGAAGACGGAATTGAAAAACAAGTGCAGAAGCTGAGAAAAAAATGACGTTGAAATTTGTACCATGCATAGCCATGTACATTTTCAATGGGCAGCTAAAAGGGCTGCAATTATACGACTGTTTCATTACTTCGGGGCGAACGCGCCCGCGTGCGTGAGAGCTGTGCTTGCTCACACTTTAAGGAATAGATATGTACTTGGCCGGTCTTAAACATGCCTTTCAGACTGGCTCAGGAGAATGGACACGACCCGGCTAAGGCATTATCAGCGTTCCTTCTCCTGAGCAAGGTCCTAAACGTTAGCCAAACACATATTTATTCCCATTCATAAATACCTTTTTATTCAGCGAGTGAAAAGAAGTCAACATACGATGGATTTCCAACATTTTGTTCTAAAACTTTACTTTCATTTTCCCGAGCATCCCCGTCCATTTTATGGTATATTCCTCTTGAAAGTTGTCCAATGGAATCCCCTAAATGAACTTGGTGCACGCGTGGCCCGTCGTGTACACACTGTCTTGTATCCATGTGCAAGCGCGTGATTTACGCAGCCCTAGCCGGCATTATCACTTCTCAGTGGGCGTTAACAAATATTAATACATGGTTAGGTCGCGTGACACGTACGTTAGGAATAGAAAAATTGCCCAATAAATTTGTGATTGTGAATTAAAAGAGATCGGACAATGAGAGAGACTTGGAATTGCTTTTCCATCGACAATGTTGATCGAAAACCGTATCATATGATAAAGTTGAACTGTCCCAATTTGAACCGTAGTAAGGTCCTAATGAATTTCAGGCAGATGGCCGCGATCAGTTGGCAAGAATGACATCTTACTTACTTTACCGGTTTCTTCCCTGTTCCGGTTTCTTCCCTGTTCTTGTGCTATAAAACCCTATTACGTACGGCCACGTGATCAATAAACTTTGGGGAAACGAGAGCTGTATCATTACATCATCGAATCGCTAGATTCGTTTGCCGCCCTATCGACGCATTTTTACTCTGAGCATTCTCGTGGTGGAACTGAACTCCCAAAATGACGATTTCTTTTATAAATGCGAAAAAAAGCTGCCTCGTTGGTCATGATATAGGTAACAGTGACCGATTCCCTGTTAAATAATCATTTCATATCAAAGCAATGGGATTAATCTGTAAGAAACAATAACGATGCAGTTTTGAGATGCCAAAGAGAGCACAAATGAAAAACGTAAGGAAAGACAATGAAGTCAGTGGACTTGTTTGGTTGATGGTGCAGTGGTCTTGGATTGTTCAAAATTTTCAAGAAGATGAGGTTATCAGATCAGACTTGACCTTGATTGTTCATGAGGCTATTGTCGTTGATCTAATACGGATTAAGACTTGTTCCATTGAAGAGAAGGTTATGGAAACATTGAAGCATTTCACTTCATACACTTGCCGACAAGCTGTTCGAGGTTGTGTCCGGAAATTGGGCACAACCTCGAACAGCATGTACCGAAGGGATTTTATTCGCCTTGGCTATCATAGCTGCTTTTTGCTCCCTTGTCTGTTTCATCGACTTCTGTATAATTTCAAATTATTATAACCTGTTCAATTACTCCCCACTTTTCCGCACCCCCCCCTCGATTTTTCTGGCACAAAATTACGCCACTGATAGTGGGCCAGCGAATTAATCCAATAAAGTGGGTCAAAAAAAACTGCTGTCGATTTTTCTGCTGTCATTCACACATTGTGGGACACACCAACGCAGCTTAGAGTGAAGTGCACGTGCGCTTTGCATGCTCGAGCTCTGCACGGCCCACACACACCGCTGCTCTTTACATGCACATGCTTGTAGTGCCTCGCTTTCATTCATAAATGGCGAATCTGTGCAAAAAGCGAATGCAACCTAACTTTACGAAAGTCTCTCTTTTTTTTGGGGGGGGGACCTGTTATCCTGCAGCTTCCTACATTGTTTTGGACACCAGCATGCCGTTCCTTTATGAGACGCTCTGCAGATAGTAGATTCCAAAATACAGGGTTGATAGGCTATCCATTCAGTCACACACCGTGAAAGCGATAGACTGCAGTTGGACTCCATGTACATATTTTAGCTTTGAAAAAAGTCTGAGAATTCCTAATTGTCTGGCTTGAGTTTTCCTGTTTCGTTGGTAAACAGACGATTCCAGCTCCTGGTAACACGTGACGCAAGCTGATGGTAACATGCTGTGGCGCCGGGGTGTCTACATAGTTGACTATGCGACTGACATTTAACTATTAGGCTGATCACAGTTGGAATATGACATGGCCTTATTCCACAAATATATATGTTAATATCGCACAAGGGTAAGTGTTTGGTGCCCCGCCACACGTAAGGGGGGGAGGGGAGTTAGTTAATGAACGGTGGACTGTATAGACTAAGCATAGGGGCTGTTTGGTAGAAATGATACCACCGATCTGCGATTAAGTAATTGATTCTAATGACAACAGAGTTTTACAATTAATGCAATACGTCATAATAAATCTTGATAATCCCACATTGGAAAGTTTTGACAATTGTATAAATAATTTAATCTAACTCAAAGCCTCAAGGAGATGAAATATGTACAAATGACCCTCACTTTTAATGATCCTCGCGTGATCGAATGCACTACAACTTACGATGAAAGTGATACTCACGTGGTCAACTGCACCACAAGCTGGTTATATACTTCGCGTTAAAATATACACAGAATAACACGGGGTCAATTAGCAGGCATATTTGACCGCTCATTACTTACTTTGTGCGCATGTGGATTTTAAATGCACTAAAGCCAGAAGCCATCAAAATGGCTTTCGACTCAGGCAGGTTGACCCGAAAAGTTGATTAACAATCACGCTCAGATATCGGTGTTTATCACTCATTTCCATGCATACCGATTAGAATTAAAACACTTAAAGTCTCTTTTGCTAACTTGCACACTATAAAAATCCATTTTCTGCAAAATTTTGGCCTGTACTTATCACGTACCTCCAAAGTAACAGATTCAGAATTGGGAAGGGAAGCCAATATTTTAGAAAGTATTTTTTTCAGTTTTGTTGACTTATCCTGACATGCCTCTACTTGTGAAAGGTGAGGAATATCATGAACGCTCTAATGAGTAAGTATCGTGCAAGAAGGGAACTGTATGAATGAGAACGGAAAGTTTTAGTTTTTGCCTTGAAGTTGGGCAATTTGACGTGATTCTGTAAAAGTGAATTCGTACCCAAACTCACTCGTGTCCAGATTGGATGTGCGTGTACCTTTACGCCATGCTCAACTCCGGACATCTCATTTTGGATCTGCATGAAAATCGAAGCGCATTTCAAACAAATAACTCACAATCTTGATAATTGATAAAAACGATTCATCAGTCTTTAAAACAGTATCATGGATGTTCTGAGAGAAATTTGACAAAAGTGTTTAGGCAAATTGGCCACTGAGTAAGGTGAAAAACACGAAAAAGGATAAATTAAAATGGGTCGAAATGAAAAACGAGGTGAATTTCAAAGAAAAGGTTTTCTTCCTAGAAGTAATAAACCTTTATGTTTGTAACAGTCGTTAGTCTTTCCTCGAAGTGCCTGCAACCAATCAACGCGACCAGAGCCCAGGCCTAGGGCAATGTGCGCATCCTATTGGTTGACATGCGCCATGCATAATAATGTTGACCTAGACGTGCATGAATTATTAATAGCCCAGATACTGACACAAATCTATATCTACCCTGTTCGGCCGCAATACGTATACGGTTTCGGCCAAGATATTTCGTGGAATCAAATTCTGCAATACTTTGGCGGCGCAGTTTCGGCTCATCATACAGCAGCGTTAAATATAGTGACAGGGGTCAACTCAAAAATTATCGAAGCGGGAACGTGCACTGCAAGGACCTTTGCTATGAGAGAATCGCGGAAAGGGCATTGACTTGATACGTCGTTAATCATTATAGACTTCCTTGCTGAGTCACGTTGCGTTGTTGTTGTATATGCTGGTAGTCGAATCCAGGGATATGAGTATGAACAGGCTGAACTGGAGTTCAGCACGATGAAGCACGATGGGAGCAGAGTGCACGATGGGAGCAGACTACAAACAGCACAAATCATTCACGAAGGAAAGTCTGAAACCTGATCTCCAATCGAGGTAATTGTTCCACGACTACTATTCACGTGTTTGCCTGACTTGTGGTAAGTCTTCTCTTATCGTGTTCAAACTATGATTGTCGGCCAAAGGGTAGAGCCCTTTTTTACCCGTAAAACTTTACTAGCCTATCATACCATTAGCGTCTCACCATTTCAGCTTTCTGCACAGCACGAGGTAGGTTCCACTCTTCTTTCTCTTGCGCTTATAGCTCCTCCTTACAATAGAAGTACAAGATATTTGTAAGCTGAAATGAGCATTACGTGGGGCCAGAATAGTGGGAAACCACTGCAGTTTGGAAAACTATTTCTTAAACATCGCGCATAAAACGGTTTACTACACCAGTCACCGTATTCCTTCCAGGAAGCAGTTAGGTGGGCCGAAAATAAAAGTGTACGGTTAGACCTTCTGAGGACATGCATTATTGTAGTGCGTTGAATAATTTGAATATTGATTTAATACTACTTTTGTGCAAATGCATCAAAGATGCTTGCAATAGTTAGGTCAGCCTACACACGTATGCCATCAAGTGCGAACATATTTACCGCAGGTAAAAAAAACCGAAAGAACCGATTTCTGTTGATTCTGGGATCTCCTCAAGTACTCATTACGGAAATTTGAATCCGCATGAAAAACGAACAGCATCTCAGACAAATTAATGGCTCTTGATCTCGAAAAAATGAGCTGATAGATACAAGAAATTTATCAGTCTTCCAGACAGTATCATCGGTGATCTGAGGGGAATTCGACAAAAGTGTGAAAATTTGGCTTTAAGTATGGCGGAAAATGACGAAAATGGGTCCGAATTAAGCGAAGTGAATTTCAAAAAAGGTTTTCTTCCTAGACGTAAGAACGTTTTTGTACATAAGAGTCACTAGTCTTTTATGTGGCATTAAAGTTATTTGAAGGTAAACTCGGCAAACTTGTGAAAATTAGACGCAAAGTTAGGTAAAAAAAAAGAAATAATTTTTCATAATTACACTTTGTTGTAAAATTGACATTTTCCACTTTTGTTGATTATTTTTCGGCAATCTTTCTTACCAGAAGCTATTAAATATCACCATTTGATAGACTCTTGGCAATTTATTCACACACGAGGTCTTCAAGGGAAATAGCAGTACAAATCCCTCACATGGGTCACCACCGATACGCGTCGTCTGCTAGAACAATTTTCAGGCCGACGGCCATTACGTCATTATTGAGCATGCGCGGATACACAAACTAAATGCATGCACAGTCTACGGGGGCCGAACTCACATGGGGAGTATGCAGCTCGTATGCAGCTCGATAGAGGCCATGTCAAGCGGAAACGGCTTGTCAAACAATAAACATTTTCTCTCGCAGCATCTCTTTTAACCTCTAGGTATAGAAAGACACATAATGTAGGGTAAAATGATGCCCAAGCATACCCAGCACTTAATTTGAACCCCGAACATAATGGCGATGAGTTTTATTTCCAAACCAGTTGATCACATTTCCCATCTCGCCAGCATTATCTTGAATATTTTCTGCAGGTCTATAGAGTCTGTTTCTCAGTAGTGCTGGCGGGTGATACTTTAGAGTTTTTCACAATTTCACCATTGTTTATTTGAGAGGGATGCATAATTTGGTAAAGAGTGAGCTTTAAGCAGGTCTCTTCAGTTGATTGAAAGTGTGTGTATTTCATTTTGTACCTTTATTCCATACACAGTATAATGGTGTAAAAAATCAAGCATCCCCTTAATTAAAATGTTTAAAGGCACTGACGTCAGTAGTGTTCGCCGGTTTTTTTTAATTAATTGATAAATTTAAAATAGAAATTAACGGCCAACTGCAATTAGCACCTCCTGTCTAATCCTACCTCTCTTCATGCCAAACAACTTGGTTTAGTCACTGTAAACGTGGGGGCTTCCCTTCAGCCGGGAAAAAAATATACTCCAGCTGGAGTCTGGCCAATTCCCATAAGAATGTTTACAAACATCTTCAAGATGGCAGACATCAACGATTATATACATCAACGGCTGCCTGGCTTACCCAGGCCCTGCCTGAGACCCTTAAACAACCTTCCGAAGGTTGTTGGGCCTCTTTGAAGCTTTGTGGCCTTCCAGAAGGCACGCACCTGGGTAAATAGCAAAGCCAAAGGCTATTTCGTGTGGCTTGTTACCCTTTGGAGCTGTCATGTTTTTTACTACCATGTCATTTCCCGTTCATGGTTACTGAAAGATAGAACTGCATAAGGGTCAAAGCTCACTATTTTTTCGGCTGAGGGTGCAGAGGACATCCATGTAGGAACTTAAAACCATTTAGAACAAAATTGGTGTTCATAAAATCAGTAATAACGGGATTATAAGACCGGTATCCACAAAATCCCCACATAAAGACTTAATAGGAAAAGAAACATGTATGAAGCGCAGGGTTTCCCCAAACGACATCGCGCCAAAACGAGGGATACGAAGTTTAGTGAGCACTGTTGGTATATACGGGATGTTAACCTTACGTCGCTTTTTGCTTGTTAGTATTATCCCAAAAATGATTGGTAGGCCCATAGAGCTACCTGTTGGCACATTGAGTAAAGATACTGACCTTTGACCGACGGTTAATTATTTAATCATTGTGTAAACACAGACACCAGACACTGTTGATTTTTCTTTTCAGTTCTTATACCAGTCTAAATTGAATGGATGCCCATGTGGTTTATGTGTACGTTGTGAACTTTAAACCCCACGGATGCGACTGGGGAGATTTCAAAGACAAATCTGTCCTATTCCGTGATAAAATGAGGGACAAGATTTAAGTTGGCACTTTTGTTGTACTGGATAATAATTCTGCCCAGTTCCCAGTCGCTTGTGCATGTACTAATTACTATTAATGGAAGGTACATATCTCGTTTTCTTACGATTTTGGTTGATTCGGAGATGTGCGTGGTATCAGGTAGAGCAGTAATTTCATTTTCTCTGGGAGAAATAATTATTCGTAATTTACATACAGCAAAAAATGTTATTTAGGTTGTACTCCTATTGGTAAAAAGTTATTCATTGGTCATAGTAGAGGCACTTAACTGGGGATAGGCTTGGGTCAGAGGGTGAATTTGTCTACTCGAAAAGCGACTGTACAGCGTATAAACTTTAGAGTGTGATTCCCGAAACCATGGAAGTAGGAAAAGCTCTTGAACTATCTTCTTTAATTTGTGACTTGTGGTTCTCTCATGCTCAATGTCGGTTTTTTTGTCACGGGAAAGCCTGTTCCATGTTCCGACATTCCAGTGCAGGGTCCATTTAGAGCCCTATAAAAACCTGTGTTATGGCTGTTGTGTTGAAATAAAACAACCGTTTTGTTGTGCTTTCTAGATCGTGTTCCTGAGTTTAAAGGTGCCCTGGTACTCGCGGTGAAACCAGTTGTCAACTTTCATCATGGGATGGAAACTAGCGGCCATCGTACTCCTTCTAGGGCTAGGCATCGCCTACATGAGTGGTCTCTTTAGCTCGCCACCTGATCCGCCAGAAATTGGCGATGGATGGTGGGGACGAGGTGACAAGCCTAAGAAAGAGGAGAATACGTCAGTTAATAGATTTAACATTCATTTCCCAGACGCGGACTTGGCAAATCTGAAAGGTGCGATGTCAGTCTTTGTTTTTAGTACCAGATTGAACACAGTCAAGGCCTGTGTGGCTAACGTAGTCTCAGTATAATAAAAAAGATCTTGAGGAATGAGATATGCACAAAATCCCTCTCTCTTTTTGGAGGGGAGGAGGTTAAAGGGGCAAGGTGGGGAAAAGGTGGATTGATTGGTACTTAGGACCGCAAGGGAAAAGGGAAGCCTTGTTAAGGTGGGTACGAGGCTATTGATTGTGACTGACGCCATCTTTCGTAGTTCGTTTTAAAAGTTTTTCTTTTTCTGTAATATATGCGTTGGGTTTTCACTTCTCCCATTCACAGAGCGCCTCAGGGTAACTCGATGGTTCGAGAGCGTTGAAGGCACCAAGTTTCACTTCGGTATCAAGCCGGAGTATATGAAGAAAATAGCGGACTACTGGCTGAACAAATATGAGTGAGTCACACGACTGGAAAGTTGGGGGGTAGAGGCAGGTCGCTCCGCAAATAGCCCTTTGCAATATATCAAAAGTCGTTTTCTTTTCTGCATCTGAAGTAATGCCGGCACGCCCAGGTATCAACACTTAATGTAGGCCTATTTTACTTCCACTACATCCTATGCCCTAAAAGGTCACGAGCACTTTCAAATTTCAGTTCCGTTTCTAAAATGCAACAAATACAACTAAATCAAACGAGCATTAGCCCGTCCTTTGTTCTTTGGTCAACGTTTTAAGGCTTTCCCGTGCTATTTTTCACCAGTAAATCGATGTGTATTTTATTTAGTATCTTAATTCAGGGAATGGTGTACTTTTGGCCAATGGATTTTACCCTGCACGTGCAGTGTTCTAAAGAAAAAAATTCGTTTCAATTCAACAGCTGGCGCAAAAAAGAGCAAGAGCTGAACCAGTATCAAAGTTACAAGACAAAAATCGAGGGAATCGACATCCACTTCGTGCGAGCCGTGCCGAGACTGAAAGTGGGACAGAAGGCTAAGCCCATTCTAATGGTCCACGGCTGGCCCGGCTCCTTCTACGAGTTCTACAAGGTAAAATGGAGACAGTTCACCATGAACATATCACAGCAATAGGAAACTTCTGGACGCTTGGGCTGAGTTCGGGCGGCTTGTTCCCGTATGTTCACGAAGAGCTCGATTTGTTATTCGTGGGTCGGCTGCTCGAACGCCGGGAACAAACAGCCGATTATCACAGGCAACATGTAGCATGGCGGCGTCCATGTACGTTATTCGAGACTTAAGGTTTGGATGGGCAGACGTCTTTTCTATATAAACAGGAACATTCATTTCTGTGTTTCGGAAAATAATTAATGTTAATTTTGCAAAACTTCCCATTGTCTACATGGTCTATGGCTTTGGAAGCCATCTCTCTACTTTTTGCAGCTGTTCAAAAATCAAAATCTCACGAGTTTTTCCGTGTGTTCCTGTAAAACCCTAACGAGGAGGTGGTGCATGATCTTGTTCCGAGAATAGTGTTCTTGAGTCGTGTTCCCGGAGTTCGATCGCGAGAACAAGAAACCCGTGTCAAGAACAGGCCGCCCGAACTCGACCTTGGTGGCGGCTAACATACCGGTCCTCTTCACCAGTTCTGAGCATGCACGTGTTGTTCTTAGCAAGTGTGCAGGGTTCTGAGCACGCGCATTACTGTGGGAAAGAACCGGTATGTCTGCTGCCACCAGCGTCTCAAAGTCTTCCATTTGAAATGAACCAGAAATGAATCTTCGGACATGAATTGAGTTGTAAATTGTGAGGTTTTGTGTATCTACGTTTTCGGTTCTACTACTCGTGTTGACTCCCAAGCACACTTTACACTCAGACCAAAGTATACCTGTGTCTTAAATAGGAAACCAAGATAAGTTTGCTTATTTGTTGAATGTGGCTTATTATTTGGGTAAATGGTAACCATCATCAGTTTCATTATGGTGTCCTCTGTATGACACCAAGAAATCCAAATTTCCGTAGTAGATGACTAAGCATGAAGTCGTTTTATGGACCAAGTCAGAAAATTTATGGCCTTGCACCCAATAGCTATTTTGGTGTGGTGCTATTTTAAAGTGACTTCTTGTCAGAATTACGTAATTTTTGGTACAATCTCAAAAAGGCATGATATCCATTTAAAAAGAAGTTCGCGTTGAAAGACGTGGGGGGCATGTTGAAGGACACTGGGATTAGGCTGATGCAGGAATAAGCCCCTTACTGTGGTTGCCTTTAAATTAATGAGTTTGGGAGTGTACTTAATGCTTCAAGTTGTGCAAACCTGTGATGCATCTGGTGTAAAGCCATTTCTGACACGGTCCATTGAATCACTTCACGTTCAGTAATGTGTGACGGAAATGTGGATTTGTTAGTGTGATACAAAAGAGGATATTATATTGAAACAGATTATATTGACCATTTCCAACAATAATCAGTCACATGAAAAACAGATCAATTAATCTCGAGATTAAGTGCTGTCAGTTTCCATTTTAAGACACCCTGTAGAGTATCCAAGTGAATACGTCACGCACGCACACATTTATGTGTGTAAAAGGCTTTAGCATGCGAACCAGCGCGTGAACTAACACGTTCGCGTACTCCATTGGTTTGCACTACACTTCCTGGTTCAAATTTGCGTCACGCTTCGGTACTCTATAATCCTGCCAGACTAAAAGGTATAGGGCCTACTCTTGCTGACTCGCAGGTCATACTCTTAATTTGTTCGTGCGCTCGATCAAGAGAATACTCGTCTTAACAAGGTACGAGTAGCATATGTTCGTGGGCACGCGTACCATTGCGGTAATTTCAAGAAGGCTGGTCATACGAGGACAAAACATGCATGCCAGCCACGCTGAGCTGACAGGGGAGACACTGAGCGCGTATTGGTGTTCGCAATACGCGCTCAATGTCTTTAATACGCGCCCACTACAGCACTACGCAAAGCTCAAATTTACGCTGCCCTTGTCTCATGTTCCCTTGTTGAGATAATTCCCATGCTGATCGACCCCACTCGTCATGGAGGGACCGAGGATGATATCTTCGAGGTCATTGTTCCTTCTTTGCCTGGTTATGGCTTCTCTGAGGCTGCTCACAAACAAGGTATCGTCGTTTTACAACCCTGAGCTCTGTAACTGGCTCTTGTGTCAGCTTTTTTGGTTGAGAAACCTGACTTGCCAGTCCTTTTATACTGACATCCCAGGTCAAACGTCCAGTATACAGTGACATTTATTTGCTACGAAGTTTAAACGTGGATTTTTTTCCAATGGGGATCTGAGCAGCAAAGGCTTCTCATTTGCGATTACCGAAAAAGCCAAAAGTTTGCAGTGATGCCTTTCATATTTCGAAGTGAGCTTATGGTTGTAACAAAGCCGTACATGACTCATTGTGTCGTCTTTTTGTTGGGTACTTTACATTATTTTCTTTGTAGGTTTAAATGCCAGGGCCGCCGGCCGTATATTCCACAAGCTTATGACCCGTCTTGGATTCGACAGCTACTACGTCCAGGGTGGTGACTGGGGCGCTATGGTAACGGACCAAATGGCAGGCATGTTCCCAAGGTGGGTACAATTTGCAATGCAAAGCATTTATGAAGATGAACAAAAAAAATTGGCTCGAGCGGGATTTGAACCTGCAACCCCCGGCATACCGTACCGGTGTAATACCAACCTAGTTATCCAGCCCTACGTTGGTGGCTCAAATATCATTGAAAATATGAGGAATTAACTATACAGAGGATTAGGGAGCAGGCATTGCAACGAATAACACAATCTCTAGATCGGTATTATATTTAAAATGGGGCCCCATTTTTACTTGTAACATTGCAGTCACGTCCGCGGCATCCATGTGAACATGATAGTCACCCAGCCGCCTGTGAGTCAGATGATCCTGGGCAGCCTGTTCCCCTCCCTGGTACTGGAGAGCGAAGGATACGCCAGGTCGCTGCCGAGCTGGGAATACCTGAAATTTTGGCTGAAGGAGACAGGGTATGCGCATATACAAGGCACCAAGCCGGACACAGTCGGTAAGGAGGCCACAAGCTTATCAGATACAAGTGTCCATGCAGCATCTAACCTTTATCAGTGAAGAGCATGGCCCATGTACTTTTCACCAGATTCAACCTCGTGCCAGATTATTTACCCTCAAAGTGTTCTCACTTTTCTTCAACTGGCTTTGGGACAAAAGCTGCCCATTGTAACTTTCACCTCTTGACCACAGGTCACGCCCTGACCGATTCCCCAGTCGGACTAGCCGCCTACATCATCGAAAAGTTCTCGTCCTGGACAAATTACGCCTGGCTTGACTTTGATGACGGCGGGCTCGATGCTCATTGGTCCAAAGACGACCTGTTAACTAATGTCATGATTTATTGGGTTTCTGGATGTATTACGTCCTCCATGCGCTTGTACAAAGAGACGATACAGTTTTCTGGCTCGCTCAGCAAGTAAGTTTTCCTTTGTTTTGGTTGGGTGAAAGTTAAAATCGTCAATGCCATGAACACTAATAATGAGGTAACCTGTGATAGACCACAGAAAGTATACTTTTGAAGGTCATTAGATACATTACATAGTCACCATAACATAAAATGCATGACACACATGTACAGGTAATGACATAGGGGATGTCTTCAAATTTATATGGCGACATGATTTGCCTTCATCCGTTTCCAATTAACCAGTACAGCTTTTAGGGAGATAGCATCTTTTTTATTCACGCAACGGGCTTCTAACATTATTTGCAGATTCTTAAACACCGTGCCCGCCGGTTTGGCGGATCTGCCGAACGAGTTGACGCGAGCACAGAAAAACTGGGCGTCCCAACACTACACAGATATTGTCTCCTACATGACTTACCCAACGGGTGGCCACTTCGCTGCCTTCGAGGTACCAGACCTACTCGCCAAGGACTTGCGGCAATTCGTGCAAAAGGTGGAACATCGTCTTCTTAACAAACCAAAGTAATCGGTGGTGTGAATGATAGAGTCTTTTTATTGGAATACTGGGAAGGCAGGGTGATATCACATGCTACCATCTTTCTTTATACACACAAACGTAAAGCGCGCTCACTTACGGGCGCAGTACTGACTAACCAGAAATGCGCCCAATAAAGCGAATGAACACGGAATACACTGGGGGTAGTTCCAAGATACGAGCAAGTTTTGCTCTTGCCACCTTCTTGATGACTTTTATTTTGGTATTCTTCAAGCGACTTTGGAAAAGATTTAGTTTTAAAAAAGGCTCTTTAAGATTTACGCCATTTTGCAATAATTCATCGCAGTGTGCAAAATTATTCCCCCTAACCTTAAGGGAGTATGCACAATCGTATTGATATTGGACGAGTATTAGGGTGAATGAATGAAACCTCTGTTTATCGTTATCAACAATGAGTGAAGATGTTTGTCAAAGTGACGATTAAAGTGCGACTTATAAAAACGAGTTAAACTTATGCTCATCGCTGTCAACAATGAGGAAAGGGCTTGTTCAAATGAAGTGTAACGTTCAGATCGTGTGGGTTGAGATGCTGATAGAGGCAGGGAGCTTCACCCTTTTTTGTTCATGTATGAATTGGTTACAGATATTTCAAGGCCTTAATTAGAGAAGTGTGGCATCTTCATACAAGCAGAAAGCTTTACACCAGCTTAGTTTTTCAGCATCATGCTGACAAGATTTACCTGGCTGCTAGTTGCAATTGTTTTCGTTTATGCTAGGTTTGATGCTTTGCCGCAGCGTTCAGCAGTTATTTTTTTTCGCCGTCAGCTCTTAATTAAATTTATGGGATTACAGATTCGTGCGTATTGGGTATACAGGTTGTGGTAACAGATGTGTCTATGGCAATGGATTCAGCTGCTGTAATAAAGCCTGACGTATTATAACTGACACTGCTGAAGTTGTCATATGCAGACACCATATGCAGCAAGGTATGAGACAGAGAGACCCCCCCCCTGCTTTGTGTTGGTCATTGTCATGCAGGACTCTGGGGAATTCCTTTCAGACATCTTGGGGGGATGTGTTAAGTAACAATAGTCTGGAATGTGTATAGGGATTGGACATGTTGGGGGGTACCCCTCTGTCTCATTTCTTGCTGGATATAGCAGACACAGCTCATGCGCTGATTTATCATCGAGTGATGCATGTATTGACTAATTTTTCGTTTAAAATCTTTTATACATCGCGAATAAAAAACACAATGAATGTTGCAAATGTGTAAGTTGTCATCCGTAATGATCATTTTGTCACCATGCTTCAATCAATTGTACATGCATTATGTTCATGTTCTGAGTGACTTTTTCACTGCTCTATAAAAAACTGTAACCTCCATCTAAAGCCCTCAGTAGTAAATGGTTCATCGCAACTCCAGTCCAAGCAGATATTATAGTTGTTTTTGCAGTATGTCAGTGATGCTGGAGGGAGGGAAAGGCAATATTTCAAAGAAACGAACGCGAGATTCTAAACACATACACATTTTGTTCAGAATGTGTGAGCGTGCTGTACCGCGCTTTTCTCCCAGATTCCCGAAGTGAAATTCAGCCAGCACTTTCCAATACCCTTGAATGAATTTCATCACTGTAAGATTTCACACATTGATTGGCCAGGAGAGCATAACCGTTTGGATAATTAATACACAAGTTGAGCCTTGTGGAACTTTCGACAGTCCAATCTAAGCCCGGTGTCTAATTGCACATTGGTTATCGATCTTGGAATGCGTGTACTTTTTATTTCTTTTGTAAGGAGCTCTGGAAGTGCCATTCGACTTGTCGAGATCCTGACATATTTTATCTCAGGATGATGACATATTACGGGCAATATGGCGAGACCATGAGATGTTTTATCGTAGGATGAAGACATCCTGTAATGGAAATGACAACATCCCGCGATAATTTATGATGACATCCTAAAAGATGGATGACAGCATAATGAGTTAATTTATCATGGGATGACAACATCGTAAAAGTGATATAATGATATTCTTTATCAATGGGTGCCTTGACAAACGACCTCGAAAACAGGTTGCCTGAGATGGTAAAGTTTTCAAAGCATTGTCCTGTTGCCATGATTTTATTTAGATGATGTCTCACCGCCTGTTACAAGTTGTTAAGTAGACATCACACTTGGTGGATGTCTCTGGATGATGACACCCTGAGCTAATGATTATCGTCATTATCTGAGGATGTTATCATCCAACTTTTACGATGTCATCATCCTATGATAAATTATCTCAGGATGTCGACATCTTGCCTTTATTATGTCGTCATCCCGAGAAAAACATGTCAGGATCTTCCAGGCACTCCCAGAGCTCCGTTCTTTTGTCACCCAACTCTATAGAATATACTTGGATTAGTAAATCACACAGTCGAAGGTTCACAAAGGACACTACTGTTAGTAAAAAGAGAGAGAGAAAAAATGAAAAGACTTAAAGTACAGCTTGAGTGTAAACTATTCAAGATGGTCAATACGATCAACCTTGCTCCCATGGTGTCGAGCAGCGCGCCCCAACCCCCTCTTACTCTGAAATTGGATCATTTGCATCTACATGCACAAAAAATTAGATACATATGAGGAACAAGAATAGTAGGCCTATGCTGTCTGACCGCGTTTCGATCAGCGTTTGTGTTAGCATGTGGTATTTGGTATTGATTAAGGATTAATCTTTGTGCTGTTTTCATCGGGAAGGATAGGTTTTTCAAACATAAAAAAAGTTACATCTCATTCAACCAATGCACATTTTCGAATTATAATCAGTGGACATGATACTGTTGGCCGGCAATGATTCACAGCAAAGATGAAAAACGTGTAATGCACAATGAAATTATAAACATTAGATGCACTAGGTGAATCGTTTCCCAGCTGCTTCTGCATGGAATCAGGATACAGGAAGAACGCCTCCTCTCCAGTGGTTACCATTGGAAACTTGCTGGAAATAAAATAACCACTTGGGACAAGGTTCGAATACGGCGGAAGGAAACATGGTTCAGCCGGCAGTAGTCGTGGAGGACAGTCGCAGGATCAGGCCAGCGTTGCGGCGTCTTCTAATCGCTCTGAGCGCAGTGCATGTGAGTTATTTTTCGCAGAGTAGAACACATTCTCAAGGAATGAAGATACCCAACTCGAAAATAACTCCACGTCTTGCAAGATTCTCTGTGATTTATGGTAACACTGGAGGGTTAGGGCTAGTATAACTTGAGGGGATGAGGTTTAGCTTGGATTTTTGCCTTGTTTAATGATATGCATTTATGATGTGAAACGTTATTAAAGTCTTCGTTCAATGCCAACTGGGAAATGAGATAAATAATTGAAGAATGTGCCTGAATTGCAAAAGCTCAGGCATACTCAACGGGGTCACTTGTTAGCTGTATCTTTTGAATGAATTGAAACCGAAAGGGTTTGTTTCCCCTCGACCGTATCGCTCGAACCATGCCATCGAATTCCTTCCTATATGCTTGAAATATTTTTCTTCAAGCCATTGCTCTGTTCCTTAACTCAGACGAATGAACCAGATGAACAAAGGAATGTAGTAATGGGCTCCGAGCACGAACAAGAGAGGGTGTAACGGAGGCACCTTGAATAGGAACTTTACTTCACTGGTTCAATAACGGCTATGAGATGCAAGCGCTACGTTTGCGTCGTTACCAACAAAACGAACACTACCCACCGGCATGGCTCTTTTCAACCAATGAGGGGGTGCTTCTGCTCAAAGCGGAAAGGCGATTTATCTTTGAAAATGCGGAGTGGAGGCAGGAAGGTGTATCACATTCGCACAACTTAGACGCATTCACATATAGACTTTCCATCTACGCAACATGTATTATCACATTTTACGAGCGTCTGAGGTCAAATTATTGGTAAGAGCATGCAGGTGGTTAGAGGTAAGCTAGCTGTGTGAGTATTTGGGAAGGGGGAGGCGGAAAAGGTCTGACTGTACAGGAAATGTGCCACCAATTTGTGGACATATTCTTCATGGACCCAGGGATCCAAGCATGCATGCATCATGACGAGTCACGGACTCCATATTCAAAGAAATCTGGACCTGCAATGCCCTTAAATTAATCAGCTGTAGCCTTGATCAAGCTTTGGAGCCACGGAGCGCGATACCCCCGAAAGTAAATTTAATGGGTTTTTTGTTTTGTGTTGATATTTGGTTCTCGTGCGCAAGAGACACCAAAACAAAACGAAAACCATCACCAATACCAAAACCACATTTCCTGTATGACTGTTCCACTGGTAATTGTGTCCCCCAGGACACATTCAATGGGTCACAACACCGTATGCGTGTTGGTAAATGTATCTGGGGGGGGACATAATGTACTACAGGTAAACATGTCCCCCGAACAACGTTAACCGTGCCCCTCTGGAAAAATGTTCCCCGTGCAAGGACACAAGTCTAGCAACCAGACTGTGTATCATTTGATTTCAATTTTTTTTTTCACTCAGCGTTTAGACGGACACCGTGCTCTCTCTTGAATGCCTGTTTTCATGACGATCGAGTTGTGCGCACTTACTGTATCATAATGTTCTTGGAATGAAGGCTGCGAGCAGGATGGATTTTCTGCTCAATTTACGTTAAATATTAGGAAATGTTGCTGAGGGATTGCACCCTTCTTGTCAGGTGTTGTAGAGAGATACTGTACTGTCGACCGTAAACAGGGTGTTTATCAAAAGGGAAGGAAGAAATGTCGAAGGTGCTGCTGAATTAAACGGTAAATCAGAATCTACCTTTATGTATTATAAATTATTCCAACGAATGTTTTTTCCTTTTTATACGCACTATCCATGCCAGAAACCATAGAAAATTTATTAAAACATCAGCCGAATTTGGTAATTAAAAAGGCTTTACCTGTTGATGCGCATTGCTCACTCAATCGTGCTTACTCATTCGCGATTCCAAAGAATCAAATACGGCGTCAATGGAAAGCTTATAAACTACCCTTTCAGATGCAACTAATACAGTGTTTAGCTCCCATAACTCTATCGTATTCAAATCTATGATATTGGGATTGCAGTGTTTGATGCACCCTTTACGCTGCAAAGCGACGGGGATAAGCATTCGATTTCTTCAGATTCCTTTGATGAGAACAATCTAGTGGGTAACGTCAGTAGCACTGATTCAGAAGCAGTTTTCTGCTTTTCGGTAGAAGACGCAGCTAGTGTGATTGCCAGCAACGCTTGTCTGGCAGATTTGACAAGACAGCAGAACATTGAGTGATGTGTTACGTTACATTTTTTTCAGTATGCCTTCCTTTAGTGCAGCTTGCAATAAAAAAATTGAATCATGCAAAATGCTGAAATGCATTGTACCTGGAAACCTGCAATTCATGTCTTAATGACAGCATTTTGAGCCGTTATACCGGCTTACATGTGGACCAGTCTCGGTGCCAGGGTATACACATACCGTATAGTGCTCTATCTCAGCATGTCACAATGCAGCGTGTCTACAGTCGGGAGCGTCGTTGGCCTGGCGGGCCGTTATGGCTCTTGTCAGTCTGGGGCAATTTGCTTACGTGTGCCAAAGAAAAGTAGTGCCATACATGCACTGCCTGACTACACATCAAACTAATGAACACACTGCAACTGTAATTTCTTTGTTTGGGATGCCAAACCTGTATGAAGGAAATTTACTGAAATGATGTTTTGAAACGATCTGAACGTCCTGACTGTCTCAAGAAAGATGCTGTCCAGAAATTGGGCTCGTTATTGGACGGCAGGCTGGTTTGATATCATCAGTAGTGCGTCCATGCAAGCTTAGGCCCAAGACAAATCCCGAGGCATTAAGTCTTACGTCATGATGAGGGATGGATATCTTCCGGCACACTCTCGATTCTCAATTCCGTGACTTGTGTTGTAACTCATAGATGAACTCAGGGTGGTACATTGCACGTATACCAGCCCGTTGCCAGCCGGCGAGCCGTGTGGGAAAACGGCTGCAAGAAAGGCCCTGTCGCGGAGCAATTTTTAAAGAACGCGCAAGAACTACTCCCACGTGTC